AGCCCCCTCTCGTGCCTCTGAAATCCTAGCAGGATCAAGTCAGTGTCACTGATTATATGGTCCTTGCAAGCTGCTTTTCTGTTGCTTTCTCCTGACGATTTGTCTTTATTTTAGTTGTAATTCTAGTTTGGTCCTGGAAGATAGTCTGTGTAGCTTCCGTTCACTCCGCCACCATTTTGGAATTGTTTTCAATTTTTGGCTATTAGAAATAAGTTTATGTACAGTTTTTTTGTGTAGATATAATGTCCCCTCTGACCCTGGTAATATTTTTTCTGAAGTCTGTTCTGGCTAATAATAAGACGGTCCCTCTACCTTTTTTTTTTTTTTCTGTTACAGATGTTTCTCCTTTTCCCCCCACTGATTCCCCCTCCCACTCCCTCCCTTCCCTGTCCCCAGCTTTGTTGTCCATGTCCATTGTTCATGCATACATGCATATAAGTTCTGTGGTTTATCTCTCCCCCACCACCCCCTCTTCTAGGGATTGTCAGTCTGTATCCCACTTCCGTGTCTCTGGGACTACCCCATTCCTCAGACTGTTAAGTTCATTATATTCCACAGATAAGTGAGATTATATGATACTTTTCTTTCTCTGTATGGCTTGTTTCGCTGACGATAATACTTTCCAGGTCCCTCCATGTTGTCTAAAAGGCTAAGAGATCTTTCTTTCTTACAGCTGCATAGTACTCCATTGTGTATATGTACCACTGATTTTTTATCCATTCGTCTACTGATAGACACTTGGGCTGTTTCCAGATCTTAGCTATTGTAAATAGTGCTGCTACAAACATGGGGGTACATATATTCTTTCTGATTAGTGTTTCAGGCTTCTTAGGACATATTCCTAGAAGAGGGATCACTGGGTCAAATGGCAATTCAATTTTTAATTTTTTGAGGTAACACCATATTGTTTTCCATAGTGGCTACACCAGTCTGCATTCCCACCAGCAGTGTACTAGAGTCCCCTTTTCTCCACACCCTTGCCAACACTTGTTTTTTTACCCTTTTTTTTTTTTAAATAAAGTAATGTTTGTATAGTATATTTTTCCTTTTTTTTTAACTTTCAACCTACCTACGTTATATTTGAAGTGAATTTCTTGTGGATAGCATAAAGTTGGGTCTTTTTTAAAAAAAATCCATTCTGTTAATCTCTGTCTTGTTTTATTTGGACTATTTATTTTTATTTACTTATTTTTTTTCTTGATTGATTTTAGAGAGAGGAAGAGAGAGAGAGAAACATCTATAAGAGAGAACATCCATTGTACACCTCCTGCATGCCCCTCACTGGGGATTTGGCCCACAACCTGGGCATGTGCCCTGACTGGGAATTAAACCAGCAATCTCCTGGTACATGGGTTAGTTCTCAACCAATGAGCCACACTGGCCAGGCTATTACTTATTTTTTAAAATCTTCACCCGAGGACATTTTTCCTTTTTTTTTTTAGAGTGGGAAGGTGGGAGAGGGAGAGAGAGGGATGGAGCGATCTGTGTGAGAGAGACACATCTATTGGTTGTCTCCTGCAGGACCCCAACCGGGACTGGGAATTGAACCTGAAACTCTTTGGTCCAAGGGCAGGTGCTTTAACCATTGAGCCAAGCTGGCCAGGGCTATTTATACTTAATGTAATTATTAACATGTCAAGACTTACGCCTGGCATTTTATTTTTTATTTTCTATTTGTTCTTTTTGTTTTCCCTTTCTTTCTGTGGTTTATGTGAACTTGTAAAAAATTCTACTTTTATTTATAAGTTTTGAGTGTATCACTTTGTATAGCTTTTAATATGGTTCCTCTCAGTTACTCTACTACCTTCATATAATTGTTTATATATATATATATATATTTTTTTTTATCCTCACCTGAGGACATTTTTCCATTTTTTGTTCAGGTAGAGTGGGAGGGGGAGAGAGGAAGAGAGAGAGAAACATCGACGTGAAGGGACACATCGAGTGGCTGCCACCCGCACGACCAACCAGGGCCAGGGACAAACTGCAACCGAGGTACATGCCCTTAGCAGGAACCGAACCCGGGTCTCTCGGGACCGCAGGCCGATGCTCTAACCGCTGAGCCAAACCGACCAGGGCTAATTGTTTATATATTTTAACCAGAGTTTATACTTGTAATTTGCAGGAAGTTGATCCAGAAGCAGTTTGCTCAGTTCTAGAGAAAACAGCTCAGTATTAAAAAGAAAAAAAAAAAACTGTATAGTATGTTATAAACAAATTTAATAGTATCAGCAAATCCCAGGTGGAACCTCTAGGAAACGAAATATATGGTATGTTTCTAGTGTACTTGGGAATAGGAATAAAGTATTTTGGAAAAAAGTTTTTATTTTGATTTATTTTTTTTGTTTTTTGGTTTTTTTTTTCCTCACCCAAGGACATTTTTCCATTTTTTTGTTCAGATAGAGCGGGAGGGAGAGAGAGAAGAGAGAGAGAGAAACATCGATGTGAAGGGACACATCGAGTGGCTGCCACCCGCACGACCAACCAGGGCCGGGGACAAAGTGCAACCGAGGTACGTGCCCTTAGCGGGAACTGAACCCGGGTCTCTCTGTACCGCAGGCCGACGCTCCAACCGCTGAGCCAAACCAGCCAGGGCTTATTTTGATTTTTAATGAATGTACATTTTGCCAAGTTTATTTTAAAAGTTTTTTTTTTTTTTTTTTATCCTTACCCGAGGACATTTTTCCATTTTTTTGTTCAGATAGAGTGGGAGGGAGAGAGAGGAAGACAGAGAGAAACATCGACGTGAAAGGGACACATTGAGTGGCTGCCACCCTCACGACCAACCAGGGCCGGGGACAAACTGCAACCAAGGTACGTGCCGTTAGCGGGAACCGAACCCGGGTCTCTCTGGACCGCAGGCTGACGCTCTAACCGCTGAGCCAAACTGGCCAGGGCTTAAAAGTATTTTTAAGTTTTACCTGCATATTAGCAAGCAATATGTAGAACTCAAAGTGCTCTATTTCTGGGTCATAACTACATCACTAGTCATATTTTTATCTATGTAATCTGCTCTTTACTTTATGTCTATTTTTTACTTCTAAACTTTAATCCAGCCTCTTAACTCACTGTTGACTACATCAGACTGTGTATTCAATTAGAAGCTATAGTTATGTAAATTCTCCTTTTAGTTCTCCTTGATCTTGTACTGTGCCTAACTCAGATTAGCAATCCTTTGTATTCCTCTTGCTGAGGTTTAGCAGGTGACTCGAAGAAGAATGGCAATTTTTCCAATAGAAGGGTGTTGGCTTCACAATAACAACTGATACCATGGAATTTTTATTTTTTGCATTTTAAAAACTTTTATTTTGAAGTAACTTCTGATTTACCAAAAAATGCAAGAATAAAATAGTACAAAGAACACTTGTATATTCTTAACTTTTTACTACATTTGTTTTAACATTCACCATACATATGTGCGTGTGTTTATGAATGTGAATATATTTCTCTAAGAGTAGACATTTTCTCTTTCCTAATTACAAGAGCATGATTAGAGAGGTGTCCCTTCTGTATTACTTCTACTCCATCGCTTTGCCTTGTAGATGACCAACTTTGTATTTTGATTTATTCTTCCACTGTTTTTTTTCCCCATCTAATTAGCATATGCATATGTATTTACATTTTTCTTTATTCCTACTTAAAAGTATTACACTATATATGTTCTGTTGTACTTTTTTTTCTTTTTTTAGTTAGCAGTATTTTCTGTAAGTCACCCTATATCAGATCATAGAAGCTTTTTAAAAAATAGCTGTATAGTATTCTGTTTTGTGTATGTACCACAGTTTATTCAACTGTGCTTGGATATCTAGGTGCTTTCCAGTAATTTGAGTTAGAGATAATCTTTGAATAATTTTGTTTTATATGTATTTTTAAATTGTCGGGGGTGTATCTTTGGAGTCAGTTCCTTGAAGCAGAATTCCTGGGTGGAAGAACAAACATGTATTTTTGTTAGATATTGTTAAACTTCTTTCTGTAGGAATTGTACTATAATTAAGTCCTCAATGTTATTCATAGGTCCTGTGACTTTAGCCCTGGCTGGTTTGGGTCAGCGGTTAGAGCGTTGGCCCGCAGACCAGAGAGTCCCGGGTTCGGTTCCCGCTAAGGGCACGTACCCAGGTTTCAGTTTGTCCCCGGCCCTGGTTGGGGTCGTGTGAGTGGCAACCACTCCATGTGTCTCTCTCACATCGATGTTTCTCTCTCTCTCTTCCTCCCTCTCTCCCTCCTGCTCTATCTGAAAATAAATACAAAAATGTCCTCGGGTGAGGATTAAAATAAATAAATAAAAAGAGTTTCTGTGACTAAGTGAAAACTAGCGAAGTTACCAGTTTTACCGTAGGCTGATTGATATAAACAAGAGTTAAATTCCTATGGCATCTAGTCAGTGTTATAACAAAACAACCTTATTTGAGAATCTGCAGTGTTTTATATTTATACCAGCGAAGTATAAGAGTACTTTTCCCCACAGTTTTGCCAACAGAGAAGATATTTTTAAACTTTTGAATTTTTTGCCAGGCTCATAAGTAAGAGAGTAGTATTTTAATATAGTTTTACTTTTCTTGGTAGTCTTTTATTTCTGTTTTTTGTTCCGTTTATATATATTTTCATTTACTTAAGCTGTCAGTCCTATGATTTTATCACCTCCCTTTCCCAGATACACAGTCTTGTGCTTTTATTTCTTTACTTTGAAAATGTGGGTGAATATTGGTTATCCACAGAACTGCTGGCATTTCTACTTGAACCCTGTTCTATTCCTTTCAGTTTTCCTCCTGTTCCAGTTTGCAGTGCTTTTCTACTTCAGACATCTGAAGCGTGAAGTGTGATTTGAAGCTAATTAAAAAGACATAATTTCCCCACAATGTTAGAATATTGTTAACCTGTTAACATTTGATGTATATGATACAGCTCATCAGTAATAGTTAAGGCTATTTTGCTCATCTCTAACAATATTTTTGTAGTTGGAACCATCATTACAGTAAAGTTTTATTTATTTTTTTCCATAGAACATTCCTGATGTAGATGAAGAAGGCTATAGTATAAAACCAGAAGCAAATCAGAATGATATCCTTTTATCATCTTTATATTCTTATGGATTGTGCCGGCATATAAATAGACAGTTAAAATTATTATTTAATAAAGAGTCTTCACATTTTTAATTAATTATAATAAAATGACTCATTCTTCATTTGACATGTTTTTGTTAACAAAAGTTAGTAGTTATATTTTTGTTAAAGTCCATCTTATCTCTTAAAGGTTTTGTTACTTTTTTAAATGTGTAAAAACTGGTTATGCATTAAGACAAATTAAAAACTAAATTTTTTAACTGATACTCACATACCAAAGAGAACCATTTCTACTCATCTAGTGATTCTGATTCTGAAGATGAAGAACCAAAGAAGTACCGAATAGAAATTAAACCTATACATCCAAATAATTCACATCATACAATGGCTTCCTTGGACGAATTAAAAGTATCTATAGGAAATATAATGCTCTCTCCAGCAATATCTGTAAGTAAGAAAATGAGCAAGTTTGTACTTTTTAAATAGAAGTCTTTTTTTTTTTTTTTTAATATTTTGCCTACCTGCATCTTTTTAATTTTAGGAATAATAAGAAGTAAGACATCATAAGTATGTTGGATGAGGAAATATTTAATTTATATATTTTTTATTTTTATGCAGCTTTATTGAGGTAGATAGTTTATAATTTTTATATAATCAAATAAACTGAGTTTGGCTTAGTTTTTTTTCTTTTGAAAGTGTATTACAAAAAAAGCAAAATGTGGAAAATCATTATTTCTGCTGTTTCTTGTATTTTATAAATAGTGCTGTATGTCTCAGGCAGAATTTTGTGAACTGGCAGTATTAATCTTTTCCTCATTGAATTTTGAAGTTTTTGTCCATGTTTTATGAACGTCATGTAGAAAGGAATTCTATAAAAATGAATTTGAAAATTAAATTATATCTTTGCATTTTTTTCTTCTGTTACTAACATTTTTTCCTATACTTTTCATAGAAGGAAAGGGAAAGATAGGAATTTTTCGTTATAGTGATTAATTTATCATTTCTCAGATACCATACTTAATAGCTTTTAAGGGAGAAAAAATCTGTAATACATCTTTTCATTGATGTCATACTCTAAATTCAAAAATGTTAAACTATGGGGGGAAAAGCATATCTTAGAATGAATTTAGTATATTTGTACTTGTTCGTAATTGATAATAAACCTACCTGTTCCCCTTGATAATAGAGAATAAAAGTTTTCACCATTTCATATTGTTACATATTTTAAGTAGTCTATATACACATTTGTTTAGATAAGAATCTTTTTTCTCCTATTCATTCTTTTTTAGAATTTAATTTTAGAACCTTTTTTTCCACCAAGAAGACAGATTTTTGAAGTGAGGTTTATTCTACCATTACTAGTTAACAGTAAGATTAATGCCAAGGTTAAATTATGGTATGCATATGAAGTAGAAAGTTGTGAAACCATTAACATTTTTTATTGTCTAAGAGCATAACTAATTTAAAAACTAAATACATAAAATAAAAGCCTAGAAAAATACATATCAAAATGTTAAGCATCTATCTCTGAGTTGTGAGCTCATTGATGGTTTTAATTTTCTCTTTTATGTTCTTCTTTTCTTTATATTTATTTTTTAAAAAAACAGTGAACACATTAATTTTATTCTCAGAAAATAATCATACAGTTTTTAATTGTTAATATTGGGTGTGAAAAGGAGATAACGTGAGTATGTATTTTTTGCTTAGTTTGCTTAAGTAATTCCCCCTATCCCCAATGTTATGTGTTTTAAGGTATATAGATTTTAAGTATAATTCAGAAGGGAATAGACAAATTATTGGAGCTGGAAAATAGGATATTTTAAATTCTAAAATGAATACTATCTTTGTTTTTCTTTTCATGTACTACTAGAGACACAGCCCAGTAAGTGTAAGATTTTATATTTTTATCTATTGACTTAAAAAACAACACCATTGTAATGTTTGAACATTGATTTTCAAAATATTTGTGTTAAATATTTTAAATTAGCAAGTCATAGTAACTTGTTTTATATACTTAATAGTTTAATACTTAAAAACATTTTATTGAATGTTAAAAGTACATGTATTATGTGTTACTATAAAACAAAAACTACTGAAAGTTTTTGTGTCTTTTTATGTAAATACAGTTTATAACTGAACAGATATACTAAAAACAACTTAAAATTTAGGTTCCCAGTATTAGCATTTTATGAAATATTTCATTGCCAAATTATTTATTTAATGGCACTTGGTTTTTGCATTTCTCTTTTAGGTGCAGATGAATCAGAATTCGTCTAGTAAGTTTGACATTTAAGTTGGTTATTTTATTTCTTTTAAAATTCATCAGGCGCAGTTTACTAAGTTGGTAGCCTTATATGTGTAGTTACAGAAATAGTCTTTCCTCATCATAAGCCTTAACAGACTAAAAGGATACTTATTTTATAACAGAAGACAAGTTATTTATATTACCTCTTTTAGCTTTGAGACATGCCTGAAACTTTAATACCTGACTACAACAATTTTAGAAATCAGGAAAGCCAGAGTAGCTTCTGACTAAAATTGTTAAACTGATTGCCATAACTCTGCCTAATGAGCTGGAAGGCATTTTATAAGATGAGTAATCTTTAGTTTTACCTGTTTTTAAGTCATATCACAATTGTAGTTTCTATTATATAGTTTTTAGTATAGCACTTTAATTATGTTAAAAACATTTGGGGGGTGTTAATACTTTGTGAAGAATCATGCATAAAAATAACAAGGATTGTGGGAAAAAGAGCTGAGGCAAAATGCTCAAAAGCTATGCAATTTTGTAAACACAATGCTCAATAAAAACTTCAGCATCAATCCTAATAAAAATTCTAGCTCAATTAAAAATACCCATTAAATGTATAATAAATACCAAACAAAAAATAGGATTTTATTTTTTAAAAAAAGAAAAGGTGAGTAGCTTGATGATAGGGGATGTGAAGAAAATGAGGACAAAAGGGGGCTATCAACTTATAGAGATGCAGGCAGCAAGCAAAAAGATGAAGACTAGCATGATAAGCACTTTGAGGCAATACAAATGCTAAACTGAGCCAAATGGAAAAATGTGGCGTGAATGGGCATCGTGTACATTGTGGTGTTCCTCAGAGTTTGTTGCAGTTACCTATGTTGATGTATTTTGCAGTCATCAGCTGCTGCTTGACGATGCAAAACATTGATGTTCATGGAAGATTGCTTATGAACCATCATGCCTTTTGCATTACTGATGCCTTTCTCCTGTGTACTAGTTGCTTATGAAATGATTCATGTTACAAATGCAGAAGGTAGCAGAAGAGACTGTTTTATAGAGACTGTTGCTCTAGGTTGTTATTCAAATTTTAATTTTAAAAAGAATGTTTTTCAAGAGTTGGTAACTACTTCTGGTCAATATAATAATCACTAATGATATTCTTAGAAGTTGAAAGATGCTTTCATGACTCATCAATTAAAATTCTTGAGTGATACATACGTATTTAAACATTTGTTCTAATTTTTAAAGTTGCAATCCATATTTTTCTTTTGACCCGTCATTTTATTTTAATAAATATGAGAGATTAGTCATTTCTCACTAAATATATTAGAAGAAATATAGATTTAGCAGAAATTCAGTTATTATTTTAATATTCTTCACAATAGAAAACTTGTTATTTTTCACAATTGTTTAAATTATATTTGTTATTTTCAGAATTTTTAAATTGTTTATAGTAATGAGATCATTTTTAATTAGGTGAAGAGTTAACAAAATCGAAACCATCTGCTGCATCCAATGAGTAAGTCTCATGTTTAAATTAAAAAAAAAAAACCTTAATTATTTTAGAACAATTTTAGATTCACAGCAAAATTGAGTGGAAGGTACAGAATTTTTGCATATATTCTGCCCCAACATATGCTTGGCCTCCCCCACCAGAGAAGCACATCTGTTATAATTCATGAACCTACATCAACACATCATTATTGCCCAAAGTCCATGGCTTACACTAGGGTTTACTCTTGGTGTCATACATCATGTGAGTTTTTACAAGTGGATAATGATATGTCCACCATTATAGTATTATTCAGGATAGTATGACTGCCCTAAAAATCCTATTTCCTCAACTTTTTATTTTTCCTTCCCCACTACCTTTAAATTTTAAGTATCCTTTGTCCTGTTTTCTAGAATTTTATTATCTCTGCAGTTTCAGTCCCAGTACAGTGTTGTGAGTTATCCTGTTTCTTAAGCTGTCAGATGCCATGAGGAGTTTTTCATTGTTTTAATTATTTATCATTTGACAATATTTATTTTTATAATAATTTAAAAGATTCATTGAACTCTGTTTGGCTTTGATAGCCTCACTGCTTCTAAATGAAAGATAATATCTCAAGAATCAACTAGTTATGAAAATTTTCCCTTCAATTTTGGCTGTGACCTTGTAAAATAGACTGTATATATTCATGAGCTTCAAAGTGAGGAAGTGTCTCACGTTGAAAAAGAGAAGGCTAGAAGGCATGCTGCCAGCTGTTAAAAAGAAAAAATACTTTAAGTCAGTGTTGCATGGATCCCTTTTTACTTCTGTATTTATCAATAAGAATACTTTTTAATGTGTTTTACATGAGTAAAAGTAGGCTTAATTAATGGATAATTAAATAATAAATGGATAGTTTAAAATTATTTGATACTTTTCAAGCTAGACACTAGTTTTATTAGTGTTTTAAACTTTGTTTTTAGGAATCATATGCAGCTATAATTCTAAGCTTTATTGTGCAAGATGTAGTGTGTGTCCATGTAGGTGCATGTTGAGATACTAGATATGTGTCTATAGATCATTGTAACATTTTTATTATATATGTTTTCTAGATTTAAAAACATATTTTAAAAAATAATGGCAGTTGATGCATTAGAATACTGTTTTAATTGGGATTAATCTCTTTTTACACCTCAAATACATACAATTTTTATTTGTCAAGTGTACCTCAATAAAGCTGGAAAAAAAATAATTAAAAAAGAGGTGGTGGCTAAGGTCAGGTGCTTCAAGATCATAGAGGTTATATTTCTATAAAAGTTTGTATTTAAGAAAAGAGCCAGGAGTTGAATCCAGACAGTAACCAGTACAGTGTATTCCAAGAGGTCAGTGGAGGAAAATCTTTGGTTATGCAGCATGTTGAGTTTAAAACTAGAGTGTTGATCCCCTTGAAGATTTTGTCCATAGTCTTGGTTATGTCTCAAAAAAAGGCATGTCTGCCCCAGAAATTTCACCAGACTGCCTTAGTGGCCCAGGGAAATCCTGCCTTCGCATGACCTATTGCAGTAATCAGATCTTTGAAGTTTATATTAAGTGTTGGCCTTACTTGTGTACATGAAAAGTACTTTTTAAAAACCTCTTTACCTGTTTTCTTTGAAAATAAGTATGACCTTATAAAATTCCCACCTGATTTCATACCACTTAAGACCTGAGCTTATTGTAGAATTAAGTAGCTGTGTGTCCTTAAGCAGCTCATATAGAGACTGTGCTGCTTTTTTCATTTGTAAAGCTGAAATCATCATTTCCATTTGGACAGCCTCTAAGATTGTTTAGAGTATAAACAAGGTGTGATCAGTGGGGATTAATCTTTTATACTTTCCCTACCACCTTCACACAGTGTTATTGCAGATTCTGCTTATAGCAGTCAACAAATATTGGTTTATTAAATTTAAGTTTCTTCACATATTCCATTGGCAGAACATTCAACTTTTCAATCATATGTGTTGAGCTGTTATAATTTTGGGAAGTGATAGTAAGTGATTAGATTTTATACTAATAAAACATTCCTTTATTAAAATCTTTATTTTTAAAATATTATGGTAGGAAAGGGACCAGTGATTTATTTGCTTTGGACTCCCTGTTTGGACTTTCTCTTGATTCATGTTCTTCAGCTTCGTTAACTTCATCGTCATCATCAGGTAAATATATATATACATACATATATATTTTGTGCACATGTCTTATAATATCCTTGTAATAATTTATCAGTATAAGATTTAGGAGTCACAAGATAACGCTCATTGACTTATTGCCAAACTGCTTTCCAGAAAGGTTTTAGCACTTCCCAAGCAATATCTGAAAGGATTTGATGAATGCTTTTTAGTTGTTTCTATTTTCTTCAAAATACAAAATTCCATTTGCCAACATTTAAAGCAGGCAACAAAAATGCATGTTGAATAAAAGCACTGCTTGTTCAAAACAAGAAAATAAAATTACTTTAAGTTGATCTTCAACCTTCTCTGGGATTTTAGAAATGCTATACATAAAGTATTGGGGGTTAAGAGAGTGCTAGAACAGTGGGGAAAGAACTTGAATTGACTGAGTTCCTGCTATGTCACTCTGCTAGGAGCTACACACGTTATTTAATTTCACCTCATTAACTACTGCATGAAGTTGTTTTTATTGTTCCAATTTTATGTATGAAAAAAGTAAAGCTCAGAGTTGAACAGGAACTTCTCTAAGATCATATAACTAGGAAATGATGAAGCATAGATTCAAACCTAGGTCTTACTAATTCTAAAATCTTTTGCACTCTGGCAGATTAACAAAACAATAAGCCTTGTTGAAACAGTTTACTATTAATAATGAAATAAACACTTCCATTTATAATTAGACTGTTTAGAAACTAGTAGTTTAGAAACTAGTATTTTTTTTTTTCCTTTATTGATTTTAGAGAGAGCAAGGAAGTGAGAGGGGGAGAGAGATAGAAACATCAGTGAGAGAACATCAATTGGCCACCTCCTGCATGCCCACAATCTGGGCATGTGCCCTGACCAGGAATCGAACCGGTGATCTCTTGGTGCATGGGTCGATGCTCAACCACTGAGCAACAATGGCTGAACGAAACTAGTATTTTTAAAAGAAATTTTAATTATATTTTAGGCTATCTTAACCTGACACAGTTTGGAATATTGAAGGGAAAGCAATCTGTATCTAATATTTGTAAAACAGCAAGAAATAATCAATAGATAGTTGAACATATTCTGAAATATCTTTATAGTCTTTCTCAATGGAAATTTGTTACTAATTAGTTTTATAAAAATAATCTTACCAATAGTTTGTGTAAAGAAAGAAACTAAAATAGTTCAGGAAAAACTGAAGTTATCGTTAGGTCTCTTTTTTGTTTAGTAAGAATGTCAGGATGGTATTTTGTATTCAGAATGAAGTGGGTTCTAAGCAGTGTTTTTAATTTTGTTAATATTCTTCTGTGAATTTTTTAAATCTTTAATAAAAAATTTCACGTTGGGCCCTGGCCAGTTTGGCTCAGCGGTTGGAGTATCGGCCTGCGGTCCCAAGAGACCCGGGTTCAGTTTCCGCCAAGGGCACGTATGTCGTTTGCGGTTTGTCCCCGGCCCTGGTTGGTCGTGCGGATGGCAGCCACTCGATGTGTCCCTTTCACGTTGCTGTTTCTCTCTCTCTCTCTCTCTCTCTCTCTCTCTGTTCCTATCTCTCCCTCCCACTCTACCTGAACAAAAAATGGAAAAAATGTCCTCAGGTGAGGATAAAAAAAAAAAATTTCACGTTGGTTATATTTGTAACTGTGCCCTTTGTTTCTCACTATTTTCTTTAGCACAGTCTATTTTCAAAAAAGCTCTCTCTTTTCCTGTTGCTACCTGTCTAAATGTTTTGCCCATATCACTTTCAATTTCATGAAAAACGTGATGTATTTTTATTCAGTGGTCATTTGGTGTGTAGTAGCTCAGATATGGTAAAACATTTATTAAAACTTTTGCTAGTTTTAAAAGTCATGATGGTAGTATTTTCAACCTTTCTATATAGTCTGAAAAATGTCATAAATTATTTTGCCCTTCAAAGAATATTAGTGATGTTGAAAGAGATAATTATTGTTCCACAGTAATTCATATCACCAGTGAGCACAAATAAGTTTCCTTTTGCTTCTTGGTCGCAAAAAGTCAGTGGATTTTCTCTATTGATAAACTTGTTACAAGTTCATCTCTCCAATGAGCTCAGACAATATTACATAGGAAAACTGAACATACCTTTGGGTTTCCTGATGCTTTGGATGAGAGATTATCCAAAGTGTATCTGTGAGGATCAAAGTGACCTTGTCATAATATCACATGTCCTGAAAAATTACAGACAGAAAAAGCTAACAATGATGCTGATTTTTCTTCTGCATCTTCATCATTGCTTCTGGAATCTAAATTAGTATCTTTCTTTGTTCAGATAAAGAATGAGGTGGGAAACATGCCATGTCTATTCTCCTCAGGAATTGTTAGAGGGCAGATATAAGTTAGCTCTTATCTGCTATGTTTTTATACTTTAAATAAGGGCACTTCTTATTTCTTCATATACTGCATCTAATGGACATTTCATGGAAGTGAGCTCCATCATCATCACTACTACTCCCCCAAAAACACAATTAAGACACTTAAGCTTGTAAACAATTGTAGTAATCTCCTTCAAAGGTTTCTGGAAGCAGTACCTAATTGTCATATGCAGGTACATTTATTTAGAATATATAAGTTTGTTGTTAATTTTTCATTAATAGATTCATTTATAATATATATGTTTATTGTTAATTTATAGTTAATAGATTCATTTATAAACAGTAAGTTTTATTGGCTTTCCTCAAACAACAATTTCTGATTATTTGAAGAAGCTGAGCTTAACACTTCTATTAGGCTTGGTTTTGAGTCCGTCTAAATGCTATTTGAAGAAGCCACTTGATCAGTAATGAAATCTCAGGTGTGAATGTCTTATTATGTTAGGCTCTCAGAAGTTTGAAATAACTTGAGTATTGGTCAGTATTGGTTTCACTGATTATGAACATGTCTTTAGAGTAAATGTGTCATAGCACAGGGAAGAGATATGGTCCTCAAGTTGGTGCACATTTCTTCTAGGATATAGCTTAAAGTAGGAGTGCAAGTGACTAGGAAAAGGCTGCAGCCCTAGAAACTAAACTTGATTTCTTTTTTTTTTTTCATCCTCACCCGAGGACATTTTTGCATTTATCTTCCGAGTGGAAGGGAGAGAGGGAGGAAGAGAGAGGGAGAAACATCGATGTGAGAGAGACACATCTATTGGTTGCCACCCACACGACTCCATCCAGGGCTGGGGACAAATTGCAACTGAGGTGCCGGTGCCCTTAGCGGGAACCGAACCCTGGCTTCTCTGGTCCAGCGGCCAACGATTTAACGCTGAGCCAAACTGGCCAGGGCTAAAATTGATTTCTTTCCAGCTTCCTCCTGTTTTCTTCAAGCAACCTAACCCCTTCATATGATACACTTTCTGAATGATTACATAAACCCCATGGCATTTACTTTCACTCCTGTGTGACTACCTTTTTTCTTGAGGTTGCTTCCTACCCACCTCCATGTTCTTCCTTTTCATGCTGCCATTTCTCAGCTTTACCTTTTGTTTCCCCATGTATATACTTAGGACCATTCATATATTTTTAACTTTATACATCTGTAAACTTATAAAACTTACTGAAATATATTTCTTTCTATTCATATTATATTCTTCAGTCTCTGAATTACGTGACTTTTGATGATATACACTTGAATTCCACTCATTAATTTCTACCATGATGAGACTTATTTTTAATTAAGAATACTGGGGTATTTCTAAAATTGCAAAATTTGCAACTGGTTTTGAAAAACAGTAAATACTAAATTTATATAGGCTTTAGGGAAAGTTAAGATATAATTTTCAACACTTATCAAAAATCGATTAGAATAATTTAGGGACGTTTTTATTTATTTATTTATTTATTTATTTATTTATTTATTTATTTATTTTTATCCTCACCTGAGGACATTTTTCTATTTTTTGTTCAGGTAGAGTGGGAGGGAGAGAGAGGAACAGAGAGAGAGAGAGAAACATCGATATGAAAGGAACACATCGAGTGGCTGCCACCCACACGACCGACCAGGACCGGGGACAAACTGCAACCGAGGTACATGCCCTTAGCGGGAACCGAACCCGGGTCTCTCCGGACCGCAGGCCGACGCTCTAACCGCTGAGCCAAACTGGCCAGGGCAGGGACGTTTTTAAAGTAGGATCATTTTAATACTTTTATCACAAAAAAATGTTACAATGTGGTTCAATTTAAAAGTCAAATTACAGTTTTAATTAAGGTAAGTGTTTTATTTAGTACTCATGTTCCTGTTTTGAAGGTGTTGTTTTAAAGGCTTGGTCTTGCATTACTGTCTGTAAAGTAGGTGTATGGGCAACAAACGAAAGACTTTAGGCCTTAAATTGTTGTTTACACCAACTAATTTATCAGATTTAATTTTTATATGTATAAATACTTGAAATAGGAATACAATTTATGTGTGTCAGTTTTATTGAATTTTCCCCCAGTCATAATATTGGTAGCTTCAAAAAAAGCGTATTTCATTGATTGGCTCTATTTCACCAAATACCTGTAACTACATTTTTAAAAAAACTCCTGAAAAATGAGCTTTGAATCCTAATAGTTCCTCTGTAATAGAATGTCTTTATGTAAGGATTGCTACGTACTAATGATTTTCTTCAAATTTTCTCCCCCCTCCCCACCAGCCAGGCCCACAACTCCTCTTTCTGTAGGCACCATTGTCCCACCTCCAAGGCCTGCTTCCAGACCAAAGCTTACTTCAGGCAAACTCAGTGGGATTAATGAAATAGTATGTACTCAGGTGTTTCTCTTTTTTAAACTATAACTGTTTTGATTTAAGATGCAAATAATACCTTTCTATATGCCCCTTTACAGTTAAATGCTTAGAATTTTCTACTGGAGTCTTCAAAGTATAGGAAAGTTTTCCCAAACAACACTTCCTTCACTCCCCCATCTTACCTCATTATCATACCTGTGGAGCAAGACATTGTTTAGGTGGAAAAAGATTTCCTTAGAAAGTTGGTACATAAAAATACTGTTTAGTACCCATTGTTTTATAGCGGAGAAGCAGTTTTTATGGAATTCTGCTTAAAGTCAAATATTAAGGAAGAAATGGTTCTTAGGCCTTAGAAGTATATTGCCAGAAGAGTCCTGGAGGGCATCTAGTTCAGCTTTATTTCTGTATATAAGAAAACTGTAATTCACATCACTTAATTGACTTGTACATATTAATTATAAGTACGTATTGCTGTAAAAAAGAAAAAAGCATTGGTCTTCAAGTGTTGTTAGATAATGAAAGAAATGTTATGGGTTCTGTTCAGTGTGAGTCTCTCCCAAACCAGTCTTCTTGCCTCTGATCTGATTGCCAGTTTAATTGTCAGAACTTTCTGAAAGTTGAACTTAATCTTCTTCTCTCTCTATATATATATATAGTGGTTCCCCATAATTCATGTGGTTGAATGTTTTAGTTGCATGTACAAGGCTTTTGATTAACTACCTGCATTACCAGACTAACAGTCTAACTTGCTTCTCTTTGCAGCCTAGGCTCCAGCCACTTGAAACTTACCACTGTTCCCCAAATATATCCTCTCATATTTATTTTTGTAATTTTTTTTTCTTTATTGGTTTTAGAGAGAGCGAGAAACATCGATTGGCTGCCTCCTGCATGCCCCCACTGGGGATTTGGCCCACAACCTGGGCATGCGATTTGACTGGGAATCGAACTGTGGACCTCTTGGTGGATGGTTCGATGCTCAACCACTGAGCCATACCTGCAGGGCCATCATGCTCTTTTATACATTCATGTCTTATTATGCCTCTCTATCTGAAATGCCCCTCAGTTTTCTTGAAGACTCTGTTAAATATCACCACGTAGGTAAAATCCTCTTTGATCATTACTTCTCCCCCAGTGAATTTAATCATTCTCTTCCTTGTACCCGTATTTTGCTTGTATTTCTCTCCCCACCCCACCCTTACCAGCCATACTTTCTTTGTGTTTGTTCCCCTTACTGGACTATGCCATAGCCAGTTTCATATCCTTAATACTTTGCATGATGCCTGTCACATAGTTAGAAAATGTTTCATGACTAAATGAAACAACCAAGTGTTGAAATGGTGACATCTTTCTTTATTACCCCCTATCCCAATGAACAGACTTAATGGAAATGAAATGAAAGACTAAATACCACTTGCTAAAGAGATGGTTATTATTTAAGTAATATAAAAATAAATACATTTTAATAACATGGGTGTTATCCTGATTACAAAAACCAATGCACGATTGTGTTGGAAAACACAAAAGAACATAAAAATTCCTTCTGTATTTTAACACTTAGAGTAACCCTTGTTAACATTTTTTTATATTCTTTCATTATTTTTTGACTGCATAAGTACTTATTTATTCAGAGGTAGTAAAATACTGTTAAAAGCACAAGTTTATTAGTCACTAATTAACTGAGTCACATTAGGTAGGTTATTTGGAATCAGTTTTCTTATTGGTAAAATTGGTATAATGATAATGGGTTGTTGTGATACTTTAAGTTAATACGTATGTGTAAAACACCTAGAACATTGTCAGGTGCAAATAATTGCTCAAAACGTTATTGTCTTTTCTTACATATTTTTTGTTTGCTCTTCACTTGAAAATATTGTGGGAATTCTATGTCATGAATTATTCTGTAGTTTTTAAACTTCTTTAAAGTGGTAGAATTCTTTGTCAAATAATCTTAATGCTGTTAAGTCTTTTACATGAGTAAAAGTGGGACTTTTATAGTTGAATCTTTCACATCACCCTTCACTGTGGGCCCTAGCCTTGAGAACTTTCTAGAAACCACTCTCTAAGGGCTTCAGAGAGCACTGTTTGAATTGGCTGCATAGCATAAATGCTCTTCTATACTATTGCCAGCATTAAATTTCCAAAAAATTTTTAGAAATTTCTTAATTTAATATTTCCAAGTTTCCATTATAAACCATGTCTTAATGACTGTCCTTATGTTTACTTGTTTGCAGAACTTATTTCCTTATTAAAAATTTTATTTATTTAAAAATATTTTTTTTTCTTTTTTTTTTTTTTTTATCCTCAACTGAGGACATTTTTCCTTTTTTTTTGTTCAGGTAGAGTGGGAGGGAGAGAGAGGAACAGAGAGAGAGAGAGAAACATCGATGTGAAAGGGACACATCGAGTGGCTGCCACCCGCACGACCAACCGGGGCCGGGGACAAACTGCAACCGAGGTACATGCCCTTAGCGGGAACCGAACCCGGGTCTCTCGGGACCGCAGGCCGATGCTCTAACCGCTGAACCAAACTGGCCAGGGCTATTTTTTTTTTCTTTATTGACTTTAGAGAGAGAGGAAGGGAGAGGGAGAGAGAGAGAAACATCAATGCATCGATGAGAGAGAACATGGATTGGCCGCCTCCTACATGCCCCTCACTGGGGATGGGGCCCACAACCTGGGCATGTGCCCTCGAATCGGTGACCTCTTGGTGGTTCAACGCTCAGTTACTGAGCCACAACAGCCGGGCATCTTTAGTAAAAATTTTAAAAGTGAAATCTATGAACTAAATGGTATATACATTTGTAAGACTCTTGATAATTATTGCTGTTGCCGATTTGAATTCTCTCCAGCTATACATTGGAGTGCCCTTTTTCTTAACATGCTTATTTGTACACTTTGTCAGAAGGTCTGTAACCACACCTTCCATATACCCGTACAGAGAACTCCTCATTGATCTAGAGCAGTGGTTCTCAAAATGTGGTCCCAAGACCAGCAGTATTAACATCTCTTGGGAACTTGGTAGAAATTCATTCTCTCTCACCCTAGACAAATCAGAAATTCTGGGGAGTGGCCCAGCTATTGTGTTTTAACAAGTCCTCCAAGTGGTTCTGATGCATGCTAATGTTTGAGAATCATTGTTTTGAAGCAATACTGTCCAACAGAAATATAATGCAGGCAACATCTATAATTTTAAATGTTCTAGTAGCCACATAAAAAAAAAAATGGCGAAATGTATTTCATTTTAGTCCATGTATAAAAAATACAAATTTAACATCTAATCAATATAAAAATTGAGAGTTTACATTCTTTTTGTGTGTTTGCTAAGTCTTCAACCCACTGTGTATTTTATAGTTGCATCTCATCTCAAATTTAGACTTGCCATATTTCAAGCAATAATGGCTACTGTACTAGACAGTGTTCTAAAACAAGCAAAAACCACTTAAGAAAAGAGCTGTTTTTGCCTCTTCCTAAAAACTTGTAAAAGGCACATTCTAAATTGTAAAAATACAGCCACATTATATTGGTCATGTTGCCACAGGGGAAATGTCTCTCATATGTAATTGATTTCAAGACTTTCCCCAAGCTTGTTAGTTTTAAATCAACTGTTGAATTTAATATTTGGCCTCGTAAATTGCAGTACCCCAATTTGTATACATACACAACTGCATTTTCCCACTTTGCTATAGTTTTTCAACCTATTTTTTAAATAATAATGAGTCATCAAAAGGCAGTCTCTGAAACTAATAGTTTAAAAAGTTAAATTGGGGGTAGGGGTGAGGATTTACTAATATAAGATATTTTCAAATTTTTATAACAGTTTATATATATTCATGCAATAAAGAGTTGACTAGTGTATGAATGTTTATAGGGTTTGTTGGTTTTTGCCTTTTGTTTTTCAAGTCCCTCAAATAACTGGGAACAGAAACAATGTCTTGTTCAGTGCTTTGTATCTAGTTACCTAATCTCTGACCTGACTTATAGTAGGCACTACATGAATACTGTATTTGCTTAATTCTTTTTTTTTTTAATTGATTTTTATTTTTTGAGAGAGAGAGAGAGAGAGAGAGAAACATCAATCAGCTGCCTCCTGCATGCCCCCTACTGGGGATTGAGCCCACAACCTGGGCATGTGCCCTGACCTGGAATCAAACTGGGACCTCTTAGTCCATGGGACAACATTCAGTTCACTGAGACACACTGGCAGGCCTGCTTAATTCTTTTATAAATGAAAAGGTTATTTTTAAGTCAGCTAAATATGCCTTATTTTAAAAAGTGAAACACCTCAGGAAGTATTGCTAATGTTATTGGAACAATTAGGAATTTGGAAGGAAAAAAACTTATTTACCAAGGTCAAAGATAAATGAATTGGAATAATGTTTCTCATATTTGTTTTTATGTTAAACTAGAAAAGTGAGAAGATAGTAGAACCTCTGTATGGTGTTAACTTTCTCAATGATGAAGCATTAAAACGAATTATAAAGGAAAATGTGGAGTTTTGTAAACACCAAAAATAAAGGGCAAGCAATATTTAGGGGGGAAATGTTTGCAGCAAATAAATTAAAGGGTTAGTGAAAGCTCGGGTAATACTAAGTCCTCCCAAAACTAAATCAGAGCTAATACATACAATTTATAAAAGGGAAAAATGCCCCCCCCCCTTTTTTAATCTATCAAATTGGCTAAGAATTAAATTATTTTCTCCTTCTTCTAAGGCCCATATATTCATTGCTGGCAAGGGTGCAGAGAAATGTTTTTTTGTATTTATAAGCAGTAAAGTCAAGTCAGTAACCCTTCTGGGAAGCAGTTTTGCAGTAAGTGTGGAAAGCCGTCATACTGTTTAAATTAATCATTTAACTTCTGAGAATCTATCTTAAGCATACTTTTTGAAATACAGAAAATGTTTTATGTACAAAGATGCTCTTGACAGCATTATTTTAAAATAACCTTTTCAGCTTTTAATATATTCTCAAAATTTACTTGACCTATGGCATCTCTAATTTTGAGTTATAAGACATTCACATAATAAATATGGCTTAGTGTATTAAAATAAAACTTACTTGATACCTAATAATCTTTTTCTGATCATGGAGGAATTGTTTTACCATTTTGATAAATAACTTTTTGTTTTTAAGCCCAGGCCATTCAGTCCACCTGTAACTTCCAATACAAGCCCACCTCCTGCTGCTCCTTTAGCCCGGGCAGAAAGTTCTTCGTCTATCTCATCTTCTGCTTCATTGAGTGCTGCCAATACTCCAACAGTAGGTAAGGAATTATCATTGATTACATGTGAAAGTTAGCATCCAAAGTATGATCAGGCTGAGACTTGTTTGTTTGTTTAATGGGCTGGTGGTGATTTAACATTAGAAATTTGAGTTTTCTGGAGACAGACCTGGCATTATCAAATTAGTCACAGTTTTCTTTTCTTAGTCACAGTTTATGTTATCTAAATAGGAGAATTTTAACCATGGTTAGCACTGTTACAAATGCATCAAATTTACCTGAAACTAATATAGAACAACATTGAATATAAACTGTATTTGAAAAAAAAAGAATGCATAACATTTATAAACTACTGACCAATGTAAGTACTGTAGTTGATGGCGAAATATAATGTAGCCCTTTCTACTGTGAACTAATACTTACATTCCTATGGAAGTTTGTATTATTTATTTATTTATTTATTTATTTATTTATTTTTCTTTATTGATATTAGAGAGAGAGAGAGAGGAAAGGAGAGGGAGAGAGAGATAGAAACATCGACGAGAGAGAACATCGATTGGTCACCTCCTGCATGTCCCCCCACTGGTGATCGGGCCCAAAACTGGACATGTGCTCTGACCGGGAATCAAACTGGCGACCTCTTGGTACATGGGTCGATGCTAAACCATTGAGCCACACTGGCAGGGCAGGAAGTTTGTATTTTAAAAAGAATTAATTCAATGAAAAAAAAAGGTTTTATGCTTGAAGTGAATTATTTTTTCTACCAGAATTTAAATCACAGAGATTTAAAAGTAGGTATTTTAGGTCATAGCTATATACACCTAAACCTCACTGGACAAATTCAGTATTTAGATTTTGCTTAAGAGTTTTTTCTGTTATACCTTATCCAGTATTTACTACAAATTCTCAACGAACTTTCTTACCCACTGTTAGTACAATAAACAAAGCCCAAAGCCACTTAAAGCAGCTGTGTTTCGGGAGCAACAACAAATCATCAAAGTTATAACTGTCTCCATTGGTACTGTTTTAAGTAATAATGGGTTTATCCTTGATGTATATCACTGATTTATACTGAGCATAATTCAGTAGTGCTCAAAGTGTAGTAGTCCTCAGACCTGCAGCATCTGTCTGCATCACCTAGAAACTTACTAGAATTACAACCTTTTAATTCAGAAATGCTGGGAATGAGGCTAGCAATTCTTGAACAAGTAATTCTGATGAATGCTAAGTTTGAGAATCACAGCCCTAATTAAGTTGATTTAATTATACACACACACACACTTTTTTTTGTCAAAACTCACACAGGAAAAATGTATCTGAGGCCAGTGTAAAAATGACATATTTATATAGCTAAAATAAGATAAAATTGATTTGATTTCTAAATGTCTGAAAATAATGTAACTGTCTTATTTTATATACCTTTGTGAACATAGCATTTTTCTCATCTTTTAACTTTATGTAAACACAATATGTCTAATAAGTTTGTCTTTGTGTTTGCTCTAACAGCAATTTCTTTGTATTTGTATATGTGGTTTTGTTCATTTGTTTTTGCAAAATCTATAAATTAGTCATAAAATACATAGGTGGGTCCTATAAGAAATCAGGCAGGTGATCTGTACCAAAATTAGCTTTATTTCTTTTCCATTATCTCTAGATTATTCAGAAGGTTATCTGTTGTGATGGAAACTGTAGTTTTGATTAAGTTGGTACTTAAGTTTTTAGTTTGATTCACTGTGGCCAATAGAACCACAAGTAGGAGGGTGACTGTGATGATGCAAGCAGGATGTATGTGGCTTTTGTACAACAAAGGTTCTTTAAATCTACCTCAAAAATTCTCTTTCTTTCTTATGATGCTTATTCAGCTCTTTGCTTATATGTAAATTTTTTATTCTTATTGTTTTTGGAATTATTTTCTTTTCCTGCAATATTTTGTTTTATTTAAATATGATAGAAGATGATAATTTGATTGGGACACTCTCTGAAATTGAAAAGCACTGTGAGACTTCACAAGGTATTGTATCGAAAGCAAATGTGTATGTTAACTAATGATCCTAAAGTGTATCTAAAATACTTTGTTATCTCAATTTTCCCTTTCCAGCATTGTATGGTGTCTCAGAAACCAAATATAACCCTAAGGTTTAACTATCTCAGTTTTGTACTAATTATGTCCAGTTGCTATACAGGATCCACTGATATCAAATCCCCAGTGATAAAAACACAATATTTTTGCATTATCTTTTATCTCCCTGCTCTTCTGTCAACATTGAGAAATGTCAATAAATCTTTACTCTAAAGCTGTTGGAACCAAAGAAGAAGTGATTATAAAAGAAGCAGAAAGAATATGTCAGTTAAGGCATCATTTTTCTTTTTTTTTGAATTTTTTATCTTCACCCGAGGACATTTTTGCATTTATCTTCAGGTAGAGCAGGAAGGAGAGAGGGAAGAAGAGAGAGAGAGAAACATCTATGTGAGAGAGAGATATCCAGTGGTCGCGACCCACATGGCCCCGATTGGGGTGGGGACAAACTGCAACTGAGGTATGTGCCCTTAGTGGGAACCGAACCAGGGACTCTCCAGTCCACGGGCCAACGCTCTAACCGCTGAGCAAAACCGGTCAGGGCAAGGCATCATTTTTCCATGCTTCTTTAGCAAAGTGTCTGGCACACATTAGTGGCTAGTAAAATAACTATTGTGATTTTGTGAATAAAATTTTATATTCTTGGATTTTAAATTTTCATCTGAAATTTTAAGTTGTCTTGTTTGGGTGGAGGGTTACTTTTTCCAGTGACATAGAAGCAGCAGTTCTTGTTCCAAAGTATTTTTCTAATTATGGAGAACTTTCTAAGTCAAATGCCTTCAAATTCTCAAATACCACAGAATCTTTCTAGCCTCTAAAGCTAACAAAATATCTTTTTTTACTATTTGTAGGATTTCGGGTTTAGTTGTGAGACACAGAAAGCCAGTATTGATTTTTGTCAGAATTCATTCTCTAGGCATATCAAAAGTAACTTAGTCTTTCACTATAGGTAATCACCTCTGAAATAAAAATATGTGATGGTTATGAACATTCTGCAACACTTATATAACAAAAGCATACATTCAGATTTCAGAGCTTTATGGCGACCTAGATTATTCATTTAAAAAAATAAGAATGAATAGTTATAATTACTCTACTGACTTATTAAAATTGCAGCACATTATATATTTAATGAAGGTATAAATTGGAAGCGGACATTTGTGAGAGAGGGAAAAAAAAGAAAAGCAGTGTACTATTTTGAGGGATTTTTCTGTTATGAAGTAAAAACCAGATACTTAGTTTACATTTGAACACCTGCATAGATTTAACTTTGTTTACTTTTTTTTATGATTTTATTCTAAAACTATCCAAGTGAACTTTATGTCAGGAAAGTTATAAAAATGATGTTATTAGTTACATTTATCAAGACAAGGTAATATAGGAATATAATACAAATCTTAGAGAAAGAGGTAAAAGAGGATTATAATAAATACAAAAATCCAGTTTAATGCCCTGATGTATGTGATTGGTAGAACCTGAAAGAATTTAGTGTCAGTAATTTTGAAGCCATACTTTAGTAATTTTAGCTCTTCAGGTAAAGGGCTTTTTCCTTCTGACATTCTTTAACCCAACCCTTCGGTGTCATTACATTTAAAAGAAAAAGTCATTGTGAAATGTTTTCCTGTTTTTTTGTTCTTTGTATTATTTTATGCTATATTTTTAACCTCCAGATTTTACTTGGGGCATCTTTGAAACCAGTAATAGTCATTTGTGACAAGCTAACATCGTGAATATATCTGTCTTGGTATTTTAATAAAAGTTTTTCGGTAGGATTTAACAAATGAATTGTATGTATTCTAGGTGTGTCACGAGGTCCCAGCCCTGTCAGTCTTGGAAATCAGGACACCTTACCTGTGGCAGTCGCCCTTACAGAATCTGTTAATGCCTACTTTAAAGGAGCAGATCCCACCAAGTTAGTCTTAAAAAGATAACAAATATGTGTGTGTTGGGGGTTAAAGGGACTTGGTGATAAATTTTAAGTTATGTTTGATTCTGTATAGGTTAGAATTTTCTGTTTGTTTACTTGCTTTTTGCTATCAAATGTAGTCATTTAAGGATTGTCTTTCAAATTAAAAAAAAAATCACTAATCAGTAGTAGCGATGTTTTTTTCCCAGTTTATTTACATTCTTGCCCAGGCTTTATGACCAGTATGACACATCTGTTGCTTTACATATCTGTAGAGAAGGATGATATTTTAGATGGGGATAGAACTCTGAATCTTGGCCTAATATCTATCTCTTGGGAAAGTCTGACATTTGCAAGAGAGAACTAGAATGCATGTTTAATGTCTGAGACCTTGATATTTGGGTGAATGACCACCCCTACTTTTTATGGAACATTATTCATTCATCAAATATTTGAGCACCTACTATGTGTAAGATTTTTATAAGTTTGCATTATCATGAGAGAAACAGTTTATTTGATTATTAGTTTTCTCTCACAATAATGCAATCTCAAGAGAGAAGAATTAAAGTATCCTCAGCACTTTGAACAGTCTTACACTTAGTAGGCACTCAAATATTTGATGACTAAATATATATGGAATGAATATGTTATACACGAAAAACTACAGGTATTGATATATGCTGTGAAGAAAAATAAACCAGGGTAAAGGAATGGAGATTTGTAATAGAGGGCTGCTATTCTAAATTGAATGAAAACATCTTTTAAACAGATGTTTGAAAGACATCGAGTAAGTCAGGAAGATACCTGAGGGAAGAGCATTCTAGTGAATTTAAGGGACTGAGGTAGAAGCATGCTTGGCATATTCAAGAAACAGCATGGAGAGAGAACCATGTCACTGAGTAGAAGAAGGAAGCAAGGAGGAGAGTAGTCAAAGATAAATCCGTAAAAGGATCAATTCAGGCTGGTCATCATAGATGGTAAAAAGTTTGGAATTTATTTTGCGTGAAGTGGAAAGCCAGTGGAGGCTTTGAGTAGAGGAATGATAAGGTTACTTATGTTTTTGAAGGAGCAATGTAGCTATTATATAGAGAAAAATTGGAAGGAGCCAGAGTAGATGCAGAGAGAGTTAACCACAGAAATCCAGGTGAGAGAGGATGATGGCTTCTATCTGGGTATTAGCAGATGAGATGGTAAATGGCAATAAGATTCTGAATATATTTTGAATATATGGTTGTCAAGATTTAGTGAGTGAGTAGACTGCTAAGTTTGAAGTATTTACTAAGACAACTTAGTGGAGATATTGAGTTGATAGTTGAATGCATAATTCTGGAGTTCAGGGCATAGATTCAGGTTAGCGATAAAATAGCTAGTTGTCATTCCTTTGTATATAATACTTAAAACCAGGGGCCTTAGAGAATAGAGAAGATATCTGATGAGAGCTAAGTCCTGGTCCCCTCTAGTGTTTAGAAAACAGGAAGACAAGAATGATCCAGCAAAGGAGTTTGAGATAGCATGCAACAAGAGAGGTGAAGCGAGAACCAGTAGAGCAGTGTCCCAGAAACCAGGTGAATAAAACCTTTCATGAGGGAAGGTTTGTGAAGCGATATCTGATGTCGCTAACAGGTCAAGAAACATTGACCATTGACAGTTTGGAGGTCATTGGTAACCTTCACAAGAATAATTTTAGCAGAGTGGTAGAGATGAAAGCCTGCTGGGAGAAAGTTCAGGAGCAGGACATGATGCAAATAACAACTATATTTGGAAAGAGCAAATGTAGACAACTCTGTCAGGATGTTTTGCTCTAAGTGGAAGCAGAAAAGAGGCAGTAGCAGAAGAGAGATGGTAGAATCAGGGGAGCATTTTTATTGATTTGGTATTTATTCATTTTAGCATGTGTGTATGCTGATGAGAAAGATCCAATATTTATGGAAAAATTGAACCTTCAGGAAAGGAGAAAATTGCAAGAGTGAAATCCTTCAGTATATAAGAGGACAGAACGCTTACGTACAAAAGTGATAGGATTGGCTTTGGTGTGTAGACTCATCATCTGTTGAAACAGGAGGGAAAGAAGGTATGGATAGGGAGTGAGGTAGATGGAAGTTCTGTAAGAGTATGAGAAGGTTCTTTTCTGATTTTATTTTTTCAGTTAAAATGTAAAGTGGCTGTGGGTAGGGGGAGGGAATATTGCAGGTTAGAGGGAAATGGTAAAAGTATGAAAAGAGGTAGGGAATGTAGTAGAATTGTCAGGTAATGTAAAGGGCCCAGTTGAGAGTTTTGGCTGTGTGGTTATATGTTTTTCTGTAGTCACATTCAGCTCTAGAGATGTAGGTGAGGAGCTGAATTTAGCCAAGACTGCATTTTGCCAAATAAGTGCAATCAAGTGAAAGAGAAACAAGGGAGGGCTTATGAATACCAATGTGTGATGATGGGAGGAAATGAGGATAGGAAGGAATGAGTGAAGATTAGTAAAAAGGGTTGTAGGAATAACATTGTGGAGATTTTAATGAGGTTGGAGAATTATTGGGAATGCAGTTCTAGATAGAATGAATTGAAAAAATAAATGGTGACTAGATTAATGGGGGAGTCTGAAATTGAGATTATGGAGGGGCTTCAGCATAGCTGAGATAGACTGGAAGACAGGATCATTAGAGGTGAGGAGTTAAACTAGGTGACCGAAATATTGAAAGGGTTATCTGCATGAATATTGAAATCACTAAAAATTATGGTGGTCTGTTTCTTTACCGCTACTCCTAATACGAGGTCAGGAGCTAAAATTTTCAGAAAGTGAAGATGACTTGAAAGGGTGGGCTAGGGACTAGTAAAGTTCAATGGTATGAGTTTCAAAAGAAGCTGGTGGTTTTTAGGAAGAAGGAACACAAAGTTGAAAGAGACAGTGTGGAACAAGGAAGACATGTACACTGATTGCCACCCTGAGACCTTGTACTCTGGAATTTTGAGGGAAAAATAGCTCTAGTGGGGGACAGTGTTACCTTCCAGGACAGCCAGGCGATGGTTTCAGTAAACTAGTAGAGTAATATTATCAGTGTGCCTACATTTGTGTTGAGTATGCTATGTCACATTGGATCATTTTTTAAAAATAATTAAATTGAAAAAATTCATTCATAATTATGATAAATTTTTATGAAGTCCTTTTTAAACCAAGTATGTTTTAAATGAAGATTAAAGTGCCTTACTTTATTTAAAATTTTCAAACTCCCCAATTTTAGGTGTATTGTGAAGATTACTGGTGACATGACAATATCATTTCCAAGTGGAATTATTAAAGTCTTTACTAGCAATCCATCCCCAGCTGTGTTATGCTTCAGGGTGAAAAATATCAGCAGACTAGAGCAAATTCTTCCAAATGCACAACTTGTCTTCAGGTTTGTGTACCTCTGTTTTGCTTTTGATGGTGGTGGTAATCATACATTGTTAAGTCCTTCTCTCCTATCTTCTCATCTTTCAGGAATGCTTCTGCTATATTGTATTCTTTATTTTTGAACTTTGGCTTTTCCTCATCCCATCTTTTGGTTTCTTTCTACTAGTTTTTCCCAAGTCACCAAATTGTTACATAGAGGCAAAGGATAAAGATAAGTCAAATAAAATAACGAAAATATTTCTTATGGCTGCAGTGATTCATCACAGTGTGATTCTAACACAAAAGATTTTTGGATGAACATGCAAGCTGTTACTATCTACCTCAAGAAACTATCAGAGCAAAATCCAGCTGCTTCTTATTATAATGTAGATGTATTAAAGTATCAGGTAAGTGTCCTGTTATTGAAAAAATCCTAAACTTAAAATATTAACAAATAGGATATTGTAGATCATTAAATGAATAATATGTTATAGGCAAATGAGGTTCATTTCAGGAATGCGAGGATGTTTCAAAATCAGAAAATCTGTTAATTAGCCTATGGAGATTTTGACCAATTGGATCAAATTCATCTATTTCTCATTAAAATATTGAGTAAATATAAATACATGAATGCATCCTTAAAGCAATCAAAGTCAGGAATGGCAAAGACAGCTATTATTTCTTTAAGTATATAAGATTTTTCTGGATATGTTAGTACTGTTAGAGAAGAGAATGAAATAAGTGGTAACAAATATTGGAAAAGAAGAACCAAAATTATTATTACTTATAATGAACTGTTATATTCCTGGGAAAGTCAAGAAAATTAACTAAAAAACTATTTACTATAGGAGAATTTACTGAAGTGGTCAGTTTAAAAATTAATAGCTTTCAAAACAGTCAGGAAAACTAATGCAGCAAAATATTCACAATAAAAATAATCAATTAGAAACAACACAATTTCTACTACTTGAATATAGTTAGAAAGGAATCCTTCATTTGCGGAAAGACTCACGTAAAAAATATTTTAGCTGGTTTCTAAATTAACTTATAAATTTAATATAATTCTGATCAGAAACCTAGTAGCGGTGTTTATGCATTTGTGTTTGGAGACTTGACAGTCATTTTCAAGTTTTCTGGAAGAATAAAGTTAAATGCTTTAAACAGTAATGTGGAGTGATGTTTTAGTTTAATGGGAAAATTATTATAAGGTGACAGTATTTAAAATAGTTTGCAATTGGCACAACAGTAGACGGCCAGATGAATGGAACAAATTAGAGTATCCAGAAGTAGATCTAAGAATAAATGGAAAATTGTTTATATTGACAAAGTAGCATTTCAAGGCAATGTGGAAATGATTAATTTTTCAGTAAATGGGATTGAGGCAGCAGACTAGAGAGTTGTGGAAAATTAAGCTAAATTCATAACTCATACCTTTAACCAAAATAAAATCTACATGTATCAAAGGTTTAATAATGACAAATTAAACCATAAAGATACTAAAATAAATTATAGTTGTATATATGTATAATAGCTTTTTATTACAGTTTTTAATCTTGAAGTGTGGAAGACCTTTCTAAGAATGGTACAAAACCTAGAAGCCATGCAAGAAAAGAGTGAGATATTTGACACAAAAATAATTTGTGTATAAATTATTTAGCTAAAACAAACCAACCATTAACTGAATCAGTATTTAATCTGAGGGGAAAGTATTTGTCATACATAAAATAGACCAAAAGGCCTACTCCAAAGAGCCCTTATAAATTAGTAAGTAAAAGGTAAATAATTCAATAGATAGATGACTTATGGACAATAGCTGCATGTCAGTAGAAATCAAAGCAGTGAATATTTAGACAACAGTGAGATACTGGTTTTAACCTATCATCAGATTGACAAAAATAAAAAAGATTACTTTATTGAAAGAGTGACTACTTGTTCATGGAAGTACAAATTAATAGAATCTTTTCGAAGGCAATTCTATTTTTTTATTTTTTATTGATTTTTAGAGGGAGAGAGATTGACTGGCTGCCTCCTGCATGCCCCCTACTGGAGATCGAGCCCACAACTTGGGCATGTGCCCTGACCTAGAATTGAATCAGTGACCTTTTGATGCATGGGATGATGCCCAACCGAGTCACACTGGCCAGGGCAGGTGTAACCTTGAATTCAACAGTTCCACCTTCAGAAATCACACAAATGGTGGGGGAAAGAAAGATAATGCACAGGATATTTAGTGCAACATTGTTTGGAAACTACCTAAGTATATATCCACAGAGGAAGAGATTGATTAAATGAATTATTATAGCCATTAAAAAGAGTGAGATGGCTCCATGTTTGCATATCCCTAAAAAGTATAGAAGGATATGTACCACGATGCTAACTGTGAGGAGTGAGAATGCCAAGGGATTAATTTCCTATTGCATATACTTCTGTATTGTTTGGATTTTTAATAGGGTAATTTATTTAAATGACTTACATTTCTAGGAAATAAATACTTAAAGGTAAAAAAGTGCTGCTGCCACTTAAGTTGGTTTAAACTTCATTCCAAGTATTCATTTATCATTCATCGCTTGCTAATTATTGGGAGTTGGGGTAAAATAAGTAATACTGTGTGTTAGAAAATAAGTGATATGGAAAAAGGAAAATGTGTGTAAAGTAAGGTATGAAAAATAGCATTTTCAATGTAAATTTAAACAGGGTGATCAGAGTAGGTCTCATTGAAAGGGAGTCATTTGAACATGGAACTGAAAAATTAGAATTGTACCATTTACTATGGATTATGTGATTAAAATTAGATATTTCAAGTTGGAAGTATTCTAATTCCAGGCTTATAGAACTTCATGGTGACACATCCCTTTTTCTCTTTTAAATCTGAATTCTAAGATTCTTTATGAATTATATGTTGAATATTGAGAGGTATTCAAATGTGACATGCAAATAAAAATCACGTGATTTCTGGGCTCTGTACCTAAGCTGTTGAATCATATTTCTGCATTTGGAGCCAGGGGAATGTGCATTTTAAACAAGCACCAGGGAAAGTTTGATATAGGTAATTCCAGGTTCAAACTTTGAGAGTGACTCTTATTCCTACTCCTGCTTTATTCTAGCAACAGACAGCTTCCTCATTACTTATTTTTTATTCTGTAAACTCCTGTGTTCAAGTATACGTGTCATTAACATGACTTTTTTTTCTCTTTAAAGGTATCATCAAATGGTATTCAGTCCACTCCTCTAAATCTTGCAACATACTGGAAATGTAGTGCTGGCACCACAGATCTGAGGGTGGATTATAAGTACAACCCAGAAGCTATGGTGATACCAAGTGTGCTTTCCAACATACAGGTGGTGGTACCAGTGGATGGAGGGGTCACAAACATGCAGTCCCTTCCCCCTGCAATATGGTAAATTAAGTAGATTTCTGAATTCCTGCTGGATTTGCTTTAAATCTTCAACTTTTAGAAACTAAGTTATGAAAGTTGTATAAGTTTGAAAAGTTTTAGGGCATTTTCCCATAGAAACTGTGCTATAAAAAGATGTTCATTTTACTAGTCAAGTAAGCCATAGTAGCCTGAATCCAAAATAAAGTAGTTTTGCTGTCACCACCCAGACTTGAATGATTCAAGACAACTTTACCCTTAGGCAAATTGCTTAGCCTCTCTAAAGTATGTAATTATTTTATAGGGTTAAATATAGCATCTGGCATATCTATAGGAACACCTATCTGATTAGTATTTAGTAGTATTAATTACTCTCATCTCTTGTGCTATCTTTTAATATTAGTATAGACTTCATTCTTTATATTTGCCTCACCATTAATAAGTGTTTTTCTTGAGTTATGAAGGAACTGAGCCATCCACATTGTTTTCCTCTCTAGTTGAAATGAAAAGAACTACATAATTTGGTAAAAATTCCGTTGAGAAAGATATAACATTATGTCAAACATCTTCACCAGGTGATAACTATTGAAAGTAAATTTAGTGCTATAGTTGTTCTAGTGAAATATTTAAAACACATTTATTTATTTACTGCCCTCCATGTATGAGATGTAATACTAGCCACTTCATCTGAAGATACTTGTTATTACAGGAATGCAGAACAGATGAAGGCCTTTTGGAAACTGTCTGGTGTTTCAGAAAAATCAGAAAATGGAGGTAAGTGTGTGTGCTTTAAATAATGTGAGGTCACATGGACTTTTTTAAGGCATATTTATGGAAAGTTTTCTCCTGGAATTTCATGCCTTCAGTTCTAGAATTGACCACTAGGTGGAAGTTAATACCTTAAATAAGAGCAGACCAATTGAGATTCAGAACGCATTTTTTCCTCTCTAGATTGAAGATGCTTTCTCCTGCAGGAGGCAGGAAAATAATTTGTTTTTTTATAATTTTATAAATGTTAAATAAATACTTCTTATGTTCATATGCTAACATTAAGAGAAATACCTAATGAAGTAAATTTAAAGAAGTAGACCTGTTTATTCCAGCTAGGTAACTTAATAACTAATTGAAACTGATTTAACATACTTTTTTGCACACTGTTGATGGAGTCCTCTTGGCCTCCCAGAAATCATGTAGAAGCTTTCAGGCTTTAAAAAGCAAAAATAAATAATTGAATGGGACTACATCAAACTAAAGTTTCTGCACTGCAAATGAAACCATCAACAAAACAAAAAGGCAACCAACTAAATTGGAGAAGATATTTGCTAACAAGATCTCTTATATAAAGAACTCAACGACAAAAAGCCAAGCGTTCCAATTAAAAAATGGGCAGAGGACACAGACCCTTTTTCCAAGAAGGCATGCAAATGGCCAACAGATATATGGAAAGATGCTCAGCTTCAGTAGCTACAAGGGAGATTCAAATCAGAACCATAACAGAATGCCACCACCTCACACCTGTTAGAATGGCTGATATTAAGACAAGAAATAGCAAGTGTTGGAGATGTGGACGAAAAGGAACCCTCCTCATACACTGCTGGTGGAAATGTAAACTGGTACAGCCACTATGGAAAACAGTATGAGGTTCCTCAAAAAATTAAGAATAGAGCTACCATATGACCCAGCAATCCTACTTCTGGGTACCTCCTCCCCAAATTTGAAAAAATTTATTTGTGAAGATGTATGTGTGTACCCCTGTTTTCACTGCCACATTATTCCCAGTAATCAAGACATGGCAACAACCTAAGTGTCTTTCAGTAGATGATTAGATAAACAAGATGTGGTACATATATACAATGGAATACTACTCAGCCATAAGAAGGAATGAAATACTGCTATTTGCAACAACATGAAATAAGTCAGATGGAAAAGGACAAGAACCATATGATTTCACTCATGTGGTATATAAAACAGTAACAAGTGAACAAACAAAACAGACTTTAGACACAGACAACAGTATGCTGGTTACCAGGGGGGAAAGAGGTGGGGGAAGGATGAAGATAAAGGGGGTCAAACATGGCAACAAGAGGAGACTAGACTTTGGAAGGTGCACACACAATGCAGTATACAGATGCTATCTTATAGAATTGTATACTTGAAACTCAATGTTATTATAATCATGTCACCCAATAAATTTTTTAAAAGCCCCTTTCCCTACTCTGTTTTCATATGAAAACCTTTCCTGGTCATTTCCTCTTATTACAAATATCCATTATAGGCCTTCAGTTCTATTACAACATTTTTAAGGAGTTGCTAGTTAATTGCCCCCTCCCACCAAGTTTGCATTCTCAATGCAAAGGAAAAGTCGTTGCTGGCTGATCACTTCTAACTCAATTCCGAATATAATTCCTAGAACAATCAAATCTTCAGTGTTATTTGCATTTTTCTGTTAAAGAAGAATTATCCTGCCCTTTTGAATACCTAATTAATCTCCAATAATTTTTCCTATTAAGTAGGTTTTGCTGAGCTTTTTCATTAATATTTTACGCGTAATGTGATCAGAATATAAAAACACTTGTCAGTTTTTCTGAGGTATTTTTGCATAAAGGACTAGGAACATACCTGTATTGTCTATTCATTTATGCCTACCATGTTGAATTAGACTTTTACTAGAGGACTACACATTGGGTGAAATAACCAAGCTAATCTGCAGTTCCTTTGTTGCTGTTTGGTACTTAAAGGCTGCCTATTTTTAGGCAGTCAACTATATATTGACTTTTACTGTGGCTATATAGCTTTTTGGGGGACAAAATGGAAATTTCTAGTTGAAACTAGAAGTAAACCAGAAATCTTACTTGTATTGAGGGCCTAAAAACAGTTAGCAAGGAAGAAAACGATGTATTTTCCCATTTCATGAAACTATACTATTGTAAATACTTACAAAAATAGGGAATTTGTCCTAAAAAATCTAGAACAAATATTCCAAAAATTTATATGGAACGAAAAAAGAGCTCAAATAGCCTCAGCAATCTTAAGAAAGAACAAAGTTGGAGGTATCACAATACGTTATCAAACTGCAAGGCTATTGTAATCAAAATAGCCTGGTACTGGCATAAGAACAGTCATATAAATCAGTGGAACAGAACAGAGCCCAGAAATCAACCCATGTCTCCCTGGTCAGTATTTGACAAAGGAGGCAAGAGCATACAATGGAATGAAGACAGTCTCTTTAATAAATGTTGCTGGGAAAATTGGACAGGTGCATGCAAAAAAATGAAACTAGACCAGCAACTTATACCATATATAAGAATAAGCTAAAGGGATACAAGACTTTACAAATCATGAAACCATAAAAATCCTAGAAGACAACACAGGCAGTAAAATCTCAGATATCTCTCATAGCAGTATTTTTGCCTATATACATATCTCTTCAGGCAAAGGAAACAAAAAGAAAAGTAAATGGGACTCTATCAACAAAATGAAAAGGGAACCAACTGAATGGGAGAACATATTTGCCAATGATACACCTGATAGGGGGTTAATTTACAAAGTATATAAAGAACTTATAAAGCTCAATACCAGGAAGACATTCCAGTAAAAAAAATGGGTAAAGGACCTGAATAGACACTTCTCCAAAGAAAATATACAGATAGATGGCCAATGGACATATGAAAAGATGCTCTAATCATCAGAGAAATGCGAATTAAAACCACAATGAGATACCTCCTCACTCTTGTCAGAATGGCTATCAGTGAATCAACAAACAGGTGCTGGGGAGGATGTGCAGAAAAGGGAACCATAGTACACTACTGGTGGGAATGCAGACTGGTGCAGCCATTGTGGAAAACAATATGAAAGTTCCTCAAAAAATTAAAAATGGAATTCCCTTTGACCTAGTAATCCAGCTTCTAGGTATGTATCCTAAGAAATACCTATCAGAAAGAATATATGCACCCCTCTGTTCATAGCATTGTTTACACTAGTCAACATCTGGAAACAGCCCAAAGTGCCTATCAATAGATGAGTGGATAAAAAAGCTGTGGTAGCCCTGGCCAGTTTGGTTCAGTGATTAGAACATCAGCCTGTGGACCAAAGGGTCTTGGGTTCTATTCTGGCCAAGGGCATGTACCTGGGTTGCAGGTTTGATCCCTGGCCCTGGTCAGGGTTGTGTGGGAGGCAATCAATCAATGTGTCTCTCTCATCTTGAGGTTTCTCTCTCTCTCTCCCTCTGTTCCACTTTCTAAAAAATCAATGGAAAAATATCCTTGGGCGAGGATTAACAACAACAAAAAAGCTGTGGTATATTTACACAGTGGAATACTACATAGCTATGAAAAAGAAGGAACTCTTATGTTTTGCAAAAGCATGGCTAGACCTGGAGATTATTGTGCTAAAAGAAATAAGCCAGACAGAGAAAGACAAATACCTTATGATCTCATTTACATGTGGAATCTAATGAACAAAATAAACTAATGAACAAAATAGAACCAGAGACATTGATCAACAGTACAGGACTGATAGCTATCAGAGGGGAGGTGGCTGGGGAGAATAGGATGAAAGGAGGAGGTGAAGAGATTAACCAAACAACATACATGCATAGCCCAAGGACACAGACAACAATGTGGTAATGGCCAGAGGAAGAGGGGCAGGGCTGGGTGGAGGTGGGTAGAGGAGGGATATCTGTAATAGTGTCAACAATAAAAATAAATGAAATCTATGAAAATAGTAAGATACAAATTTTTTGGCCAGATATTTTAATAATTTCCTTCTGCTATTCACGTATCAGGGTGTCTAGGTGAGGAACTCGAAAAATCTTATAAATGTGGTTCTGATTTGGTTAGTCAGCCTTTAAAAAGAAATGTCCAAATTAGAACACTGTAAAATAGAAATCTGTTTCTATTCTGACTTGGTGCCCAGAAGAGGGACAGGAAACAATTCTAAAGTTGAAGGATTGCCAAAGTGGCTGCTCTTGGCCTGTAGTGGAAATTTTACAGAATTTAATTGCAAATTAAGAATTAGTTTAAGAAGGTCTTGGGACAATGGTTAAGAATTAGGCAGCAGTTCATCTTCCCCCTGACAATAGTATAGGGTAGATTAGTGTTATATCTTTTTCCATATTTTTCTCTGTAATGTTAAATTTCTGTGTAAGGAATCATAGAATGTGACTCCTGCTACCTAGCGTTTCTGTCCACTTTTCCCAACCAGAAACCTGTTAACCTCCTAGTCAACTCTTCCTTTCTCACCTCTTGATTCAAGCATCTCTTGATTCCAGCTTCTAAATATGTTTCAAATGCATTCCTTTTTTTCCTTTCCCTTTGCCTAGTTCATTTTCCCTTTTCCTGTCACCTAGAGTTCTCTCCCTACCTTGCATCTTGTGCTTCTCTCCCTTTCTGAAATGTTTTCGTGTTTCTTACCTTTGGTGGTTTCCTTTGGTTATTCTTATCTTGATATGTAAAGATACTTAAGAGTTTGTTTCTTGCTACCACTCTAGTCTCATCTTCTGCCACTCTTCTGCTATTCTCCAGCTCTTCTGATATAGAAGTAGTTCTCTTAAACGCATCATGCTCCCTCCAGTTTCCCATCTCTGTAACTGTAGTTCTTTTTGCCTAAAATACACATGGTTGCCCTGGCTAGTCTGGCTCAGAAGTTAGAGTGTCAGCCCGTGGACCAATGAGTCACAGGTTCGATTCTGGTAAAGGGCACATACTTCGGTTGCAGTTCATCCCTGGCCCTGGTCGGGTAATGCGGGAGGCAGCCAGTTGATGTGGCTCTATCACATCAGCGTTTCTCTCTCTCTTTCACCCTCTCTCTCCCTCCCTTCCACTCTATTTGATGATAAATAGAAAAATATCCTCAGGTGAGGAATAAGAAAATAAATAAAATACACCTAGTCATCCCCACCATCATTTTATGTGCTTGTGTGTCCCATGGCTCCTGAGAGGTCTTTTACAGCATCTATCATATTTATCATAATTACTTGGTTTACTGTTTCTGCCATGCTGTTAGGCATTAAATGTGTTGAATAAGTGGTTATATCAAAAAGAAACACTTCAGAAATACCTATTTTGCTTGATGTTGTTTAGACCAGTTAAATTTTAAAAAGAGAGGTGAATAGAAAATAGTAATGTTGATAGAGCTCTCCCCAGTCTTAGCTGTCTTTCCATTTTTCCCTCTCCCAACCCCATGATATGATAAACAGCAGTCATTTGCTTTTTACTTTATCTCTGTACTCATATTCCTCCTAAGGCTTCCCTCTGACCTGACTTCTCATTTGACTCACTTCAGCATGTGTATAGCATAGGACTCTCAGTAGTAAATACTTCATATTTATATTAAGTCAAAGAGGATCATGGGTTAAGATTATTAACAAAAATTCAGATTCTCTGAATAAAGTCTAATTTAAAAAGACAACAACGATAAGTTTACTGTTCACTTGTCATGAATTTGGCATGGGATTGATAATAGTTTAGCTTAAGTGCTCATTTGATTTTTTTTGGTATGAAATGTATATTAATTACTCTGTGTAAATTCTTTATTCTTTTCCTTGTAGGTTCTGGGTCCCTAAGAGCAAAATTCGATCTTGCAGAAGGACCCAGTAAACCAACAACACTTGCAGTGCAATTCCTCAGTGAGGGAAGCACCCTCTCAGGAGTGGATATTGAACTTGTAGGCACTGGCTATAGGCTTTCCTTAGTAAAGAAGCGGTTTGCCACTGGTAAGTTGGGAGACTTCAAGTTTTTTCATGTACATGGGAAATATTTCTAATCTAAAGGCATGGAAACTTTTTCTTTGATTTTTGGTACAAGGTGCCAGGTTGAGAGACATCTGGGAAAGACTACCCATGGTCAATATAGCTGAATACCTGTGATCCAATTCTAATGTATTGTAAATGCATTTGGGAACTGGGATTCTGTAACCACAATTAAAATGTCCTTTGAAATTATAATTGCAAAGCTCTACTTGGTGTTTTTCAGGACGATACCTGGCGGATTGTTGATGGACCTAGCAAAGTGGTTGGCTCAAGGGAGTAGTACAAACCTGCTATTCTGCTTTATCTGTTCTTTCCAAACACTATTCTAACTTGTATTATGTCTTTAAAATGTAGACATATTTGAGAGCTGACTGTAAATATTAAATTGCACCTTTGAAGTGAGTCATCAAAAGAAATAGCACTGAAATTATTTCAACGCTGTAAATGATCAACTACAATATTCAGAAAGCATGTTGATTCAGATTCTCAGTACAAAGTTTTCATAGGCTGAAATTTTAAATTATCTTCAGTGTCTATATTTGAAAAAAAGGGGGTTTATAGTGTAATATCAGGCCTAAAATTTCAGGAGAGCAAGCACAAAGTAATTTAGCTTTCCATAAATTTTTAGAGTCAAATAGTTCTGAAATTTTGTAAGTTTGATGTTGAATGGATATAAACATAACATGAATTCTAAGTTTTGGATAATGTTAATGTAAAACACTCAATCAGATTGAGTTATGTGCCATAATGTAATCAGACCAGAGTCCGGGTTGTATGCAAAAAATTTATCATTTGATTTTTATAAACATATAACTGTAAGTGGTGTTTTATATGATTTTTTAAATCCTGAAGTGCAATGTGTTTTAAAATAAGCTTGCAAAAGACAGCAGAGAAATTTACTTCTGCAGTTAGTTAACTTTATAGAAGTTCTGATGGTTTTGATGAATTAATGCTGTAGATTTAATTTATTTTTATATGGATTGCATAATGTGTGCCTTTTAAAACAATAACATGCCAGAAATGTGCCTATCCACTTTGTTCATAAATGTGCCTCACTTTTCTTCTCTGGGTCTCTGGATCTTCTGTGCAGTCTTAACAGTGATTAGGCATTTTTACAAAATAATTGCAATTTTTATAAATAACTTTGGCTGGAATGGGAAGGGAATTCAGAATAACTAAAGGATAATTTATATTTAAGAACCCTGGCTCACTTTAGTGAAACACTGTAGCCACTAGAAAAAGGAGGAGCTACCTAATGGCTTATGTTTATAGGGGGAAAAAATTGCCTTCAGATATTTGCCCATAACTTCATCAGAAAGTATACAAATCCCAAATTCTGAAAACTATTTAAGGTAAATTTGTAACTGGCATTTTAACTCTCAATTTAACATTTTCCTTCACTCTGTTTACCAATGAAAATGTATACATTTATTTACTGAATGTGTTGTGAGCATGAATTTTGTAGTATTTTGTGAGGAACACATTTTAGAAAACATTAGTTTTGGCATTAGAGAAGTCTGCCATTTGTTTTCATTTCCACAATTGGAAAAATTACCAGTTTGTATGTTTTTAAAGTGATGGATTGGGTAAAGCATTTCCTAAACTACTAATATTAAATAGTAAAAAAAACTAACTTTATAGCAAATCCTGATTAATTGAAGGAATTAAATATTTTGGACAAAGTTTCATAATTTAAAATGGAAATTTTATTTATAAGGATAAATATCAGTATCCTGCATTTCACATAGAAGTGATAAATTGTGTTATATATGATAATTTATATAAAACCACTAATTGTTCTATTAAGCTTTACAGAAAATGAAACTCCTACTACTAGACATTTATGTAACGTCTTGCTATATTAAATACAGCAGAAAATCTACTCGTTAACAATATATGTATAACACAATATGTGCTTTTTTATATATTCTGTTAGCCCAATTCTAAATTTAGATTTGACTAAAGTAATACATAAGAATTTGCTGAAATGTTCATCTTTACTAAATAGTGAGCGAAATTAGAAATTCTAACTCTTATGTTGTGCTCATTTAAATGCCAATTACAGTCCCTTACTGGAATCTTAACTGTACCTTCATTTCAGTCACTGGTTTTATAAGCAGTTAATATTTTATTATTGGAATTCAGACACCATTATACTTACAATGTTTGCTTTTAATCAAACATTACCTAAAATGTACAAATTAGTGAAATGGTAAAACTTCTGCACTTTCTTAATTACCACAGAGTGTCAATACACAGATTTGTATTGGGTGCAGGTTACAATTTTGAAGCCATATGAGTTTATATTGATTTTTTTTTTTTTTTTTTCCCATTTAAAACCCCACTAGTGGTATAAAAAAAGACCAGTAGATTTTCAATGGAAAATGTAGTTAGCAAGCTGGTTCTTGCTTATGTATAGTAATAAACTTTGTAGCTGTCTCTCTAACCAAGAATTTGTAAACACAGAACTCTAACAAATGTGAGTTTTTAAGAATTGTTATTTACTACTTTGAGATGTAATTAGAACATTGCAAATCTATCTTACAAAATTTTGTAAATATTTTTGATTTTTTCATAAAATGTAAATTTTACATAAAAGTTGTACCATTAATAAACATGTAATATATAATTTATCAGTTAGTTTATGTGACTTTGTACTCTTATTGATAGTAATAGCCATGTCATAGATGTTAGGACAGTGCAAGCTAGATAAGGAAGGAGTAATTGATTTTGAATTTTGTATCATTGTTTTGTATCGTAGGCACACAGATCTGTGCCTTATTATCTAAAATTAACAGCCCTTGCTATGACTATTTCAGGTTTTATTCTGGCACTTAAGCTTAATCACACAAAACTATTAAATACTGGCCTGCACCATTTGTCAGCCTTTGAGCAAGCCAAAAATCAGCATCATTATTATTAGACTTAATTTGACTAGAAATGTACTATCAAAACCCACTTCCCGTTTTCAAACAAAAATCTCAACACTAATCTCTGATGCAAAAGAGCCTAATTATATTTTTTTCTTTCTTTATTAAATAGGAATGGGCTTAGGGCCAACAATTTCCACAAGTAACTTCTAATAAAACCAGGATACCAGTAAACGATGATCAACCAGTTAGTACCACCAAATTCCATAGCACTGTCATGCAGCTGCCCCTATAGCCACCTCACTAATGTCATAAATTACCCACTCTCCTAATTCATTAAGTTGAAATACAATCTTCATCATTCTTCAAAATATATTTAACTATCATAGCCTCCATCAACAACCCCGAACAAAATAGTCCGAAGACAGTTATATTAGAAACTCAAAACTCAGGGGTATTCCTCAATAGCCATAACTTGTATAACCCAAAACTGCCAACATTCCTCCCAAATAAGTTTAAAAACCTAAAATAAGTTTACTAAACCTAAAAAAGACGCACCAAAATTTATTATAATACCACAACCAATTCTACTTAGAGTCAACCCTAAACCACTATAAAGGTCTTGAAGAAAAACCTACAAAACTTAACTACAAATATAGTTAAAATAAATACAATATGTCATCATTCTCATGGAATTTTTTAAATTGATTTTTTAGAGATATATAGAAACATTGATGTGAAAGAAGCATTGATCGGCCGCCCCTTATAAGCCCCACACTGGGGATCCAGCCTGCGACCTGGGCATGTGCCCTGACTGGGAATTGAACCGGGACCTCTCAGTCCATGGGGTGACACTCAATCCATTGAGCCACACCAACCAGGCTCTCATGGAAATTAAAAAAAAAAAAAATTATATATATTAGTGACCAACATCTGTAAATCCCACCCACTAATTAAAGTTATTAATAATCCATTCATTGATTTACCGGCCCCATTAAATATTTCATCATGATGAAATGTTGCCTCTCTTTTAGGAATCTGCTTGATTTTACAAGTACATCTATACATCAGATACAATAACCACCTTCTCATAACCCACACCTGCTGAGACATGAACTATGAATGAATTATTCAATTACCTACTCAATACCTACACACCAATGGAGCACCTAAAGTCTTTATTTGCTTATTCTTTCAATTAGGATGAGATCTATATTATGGATCTTACACCTCCCTGGAAACATGAAACATTGGAATCATCTTATTCACAATAATAGCTATAGCATTTATAGGCTACGTTCTACCATGAGGTCTTCTGAGTAGCAACAGTTATTACAGATCTCTCAGCCATTCTCTACGTTGGCACTAGTCTAGTCAAATGGATCTGAGGATTCTTAGTTGACAAAGCTGTACTTATCTGATTCTTCACCTTCTACTTCATCCTCCCATTTGTTATTTCAACCCTAGTGATTATTCACCTACTATTTCTTCATGAAACAGGATCAAATAATCTGTCAGGAATTTTATCTCGCAGACAAAATTTCATCTCACCCCTATTATACAATCAAGAATATTCTAGGACCTTTAATTCTAGTCCTAGCCATACTAGTTCTGTTATCACTCAATCTTCTAGGAGGTCCAGATAATTGCATACAGCTAATCCTCTTAATACTCAACTGCACATTAAACCAGAATGATACATCCTCTGTGCATATGCAGTCTTACGATCCATCCCCAATAAATTAGGTGGCATATTAGCTCTAATCTCTATTCTAATTCTAGCAATTATTGCCATACCTCTTAAGTCAGAACTACAAAGTATAATATTCTGTCCCTCATCCAATGCTTATTCTGACTACTAGTAGCAGACCTATTAATATTAACATGAACTGGAGGACAACCAGTGAAGACCCATTTATCATCGGCCAACTAGCATCAGTCTTATATCTTCTTTTTCTTGTATGTATGCTGCTCACAAGCTTAATTAAAAATAATCTTGTGAAACGAAGAATTTTTATAGTTTATTCATTACTCTGGTTTTTAAACCAGAAAAAGTGAAAAACCTCCCTAGGTCATCAAGGAAGAAGCCCCAGTGCCACCATCAACAACCAAAGCTGAAATTCTACTTAAACTATTTACTGAAAGTTACACACGAACAGTGAAACATTGTCACATGCTGTGTCAGTATTAAAAACAAATTCCAGACTAAATCCATTGCTCTGTACTTCGTGCATGAAATTACCTACTCCATTACAATGTATTAGTACCTACATGCTTGATTGTATGTGACATATATTATGTATAATCATATGTTAGCTATTTGCTCCATGCATATATGCAAGCACATCAAACTGAATATTACATAATACATAGAATGGTTTATTGTACGTAAAATTCTCTTCATGTGGCTAGTCATAAACCAATAGATATAATTGATATTGCATACTTTTTGTGGGCTAAAACAATTACTTATTTGCTCATAATTCTACAGGTCAGTATTTTTAAAATTAAATTTATTGAGGTGACATTGGTTAATGAGATTATATAAGTTTCAAGTGTACAATATAATACATCACCTGTATAAAGTTTAGTCTTTCATCATATATTTGACCCTCTTACATAGGACGTAGTGGTGCTGATTGTACATACCCTATTTAAGTCAGCTCTAGTCACCATGCTTATCACCACCAACTTTCCTTCATCATCAAGCTTTAGGAAACCAGCAATGTGTCTACAGATGTGCCCCTCTTCTCACTTCAGGCCCTTAGAGCTGGATGTATATATATTCAGATATATCTGGCATCTGGTTATATCAGGACCATCTCACCAAACATCACCCTCTCTTTTTTTTTTTTTTTTGCATTTATCTTCAGATAGAGCCAGAGGGAGCAGGGGGGAGAGGAAGAGAGAAACATCGATGTGAGAGAGACACATTGAGTGGTTGCCACCCACACAACCCCAACTGGGGCGAGGACAAACTGCAACTGAGGTAGGTGCCCTTAGCAGGAACCGAACCCAGGACTTGGGTCCACAGGCCAATGCTCTAACCGCTGAGTCAAATCAGCCAGGGCTCTTTCCTCTTAAATAAGACATCTTGATGGACAAATCTGCCCAGGCTCATACATAGCTGAATTGTCATACATTTTGTCTTTTTTAATTTGGGAGAGATTCTGTGACTCAGCTATTGCCATCTGAGACCTTAACACAGTCAAGCAACTTGTAGTTGAGCTTATATTGATCATCATTTACCAACATTAACCAAAAGGTGTTATTTAGTCAATGCTAACA